TGCATTCCATAACCAACTCACTGAGTCTCCGAGACCCCCAGCTATCAGGTGCCTTAAAGAACTAAGCTAGAGGAATATATTCAGGAACATGTCTGTCTTAGCAAGAAAGTCTCCAGTGTGCAGCAATATTGAATAATAGACAATCTGGTCAGTGCCCCGCATAGAAATACAGTACTAAGACAAAGTACCCACCTGCTGATCAGCAGGCTTTTCCACATCCAGAGGTAAAGAAGTAGGATTACAATAATAATAAGAGGTATACTTCATAGGGAACTGTGTGAATGATTTGCACATGTGAAGGAGAAGAGACTGCCTCATTTGTAAGGGAGATGGGCTCTGTGTGGTGAAAAGTCCCTGTCAGTCTTGTTAACAGGACAGTTGGGGGTAGTTCATACACAGAAAGCAAACAAAAACATGGGACTAACGACAGAGAGCAGATACATATATATATTATGCCAGCCATCATCCTGTCCACTCTGCTTGTAAGTTTTCCTTTTCCCCATTCTCTGCCTGTTTTATGTCTTTCCAAACGCTTTGGGTAGAGGCAGGGTTTTTCTTGTATGTATGTATGTTTGGTGCCTAGGCCAGATTGTGTACTAGTGCAATATAATAAATACTTCACTGTTAATAATTTGGATGGCTTTCACTGACGAAGGCCAAACCGGCTTTACTTCCTTCAAGTTTTCCCCGAAAAAGGGATGGATTAATGCTATTCTTACACCATTATTTCACACCATATTTGGACTAGTTGTGAGGCCATCCCCTCCCCCGACCCCCCCGACTGATTATTCCTGCTGGAGCAGGAGTAATCCAAGCAGGGGAAGTTGGCTAGTTGCTGCAGGAGAATCAGTTGTTTCCACATTTACACATGGGGCTCATCTTGACCACTTAGTCTTCCCTGAACACCAGCCCCTTACTCATGCACAGGGCTCACGCACGGATGGGTTAGCTCTGTGCATTTGGGGAGGGATCAGGGCACAACAGCTATGTCCACTAATTCTCCTGACTGTCTTTTCCCACACACACAGAAGGACCAGCAGAATTTGTCATGCACATTTTTCTTTCTCTGTATGAGTAGAGCTGAAGGACCTGTAGTGTCTCATTGGGGTGGTGCTAATTCAGGTAGGCGTCCTCTCCTAGTCTCAGGAATCCCACAGCCCTCCTTGCTGGGGCTATACTGATTCAGGGAAGCTTCTCTCCTCGTTACTTAGGGTATGTCTACACTACGGAATAAGGTCGAATTTATAGAAGTCGGTTTTTTAGAAATCGGTTTTATATATTCGAGTGTGTGTGTCCCCACAGAAAATGCTCTAAGTGCATTAAGTGCATTAACTCGGCGGAGCGCTTCCACAGTACCGAGGCAAGCGTCGACTTCCGGAGCGTTGCACTGTGGGTAGCTATCCCACAGTTCCCGCAGTCTCCGCTGCCCATTGGAATTCTGGGTTGAGATCCCAATGCCTGATGGGGCTAAAACATTGTCGCGGGTGGTTCTGGGTACATATCGTCAGCCCCCCATTCCCTCCCTCCCCCCGTGAAAGCAAGGGCAGACAATCATTTCGCGCCATTTTTCCTGAGTTACCTGTGCAGACGCCATACCATGGCAAGCATGGAGCCCGCTCAGGCTATGTCTCACCCTATGTCTCCTGGGTGCTGGCAGACGCGGTACGGCATTGCTACACAGTAGCAGCAACCCCTTGCCTTGTGGCAGCAGACGGTACAGTACGACTGGTAGCCGTCATCGTCATGTCTGAGGTGCTCCTGGTCGCCTCTGTGAGGTCGATCAGGAGCGCCTGGGCAGACATGGGCACAGGGACTAAATTTGGAGTGACTTGACCAGGTCATTCTCTTTAGTCCTGCAGTCAGTCCTATTGAACCGTCTTATGGTGAGCGGGCAGGCGATACGGACTGCTAGCAGTCGTACTGTACCATCTTCTGCCGAGCAGCCATGAGATGTGGATGGCATGCAGTCCTTCTGCACCGTCTGCTGCCAGCCAAAGATGTAAAAGATAGATGGAGTGGGTCAAAACAAGAAATAGACCAGATTTGTTTTGTACTCATTTGCTTCCCCCCCTCCCCTGTCTAGGGGACTCATTCTTCTAGATCACACTGCAGTCACTTACAGAGAAGGTGCAGCGAGGTAAATCTAGCCATGTATCAATCAGAGGCCAGGCTAACCTTCTTGCTCCAATAAGGACAATAACTTAGGTGCACCATTTCTTATTGGAACCCTCCGTGAAGTCCTGCCTGAAATACTCCTTGATGTAAAGCCACCCCCTTTGTTGATTTTAGCTCCCTGAAGCCAACCCTGTAAGCGCCCCTCCCTCCGTCAGAGCAATGGCAAACAATCGGGCATCTGAGAGTGCTGTCCAGAGCAGTCACAATGGAGCACTCTGATGGGGCTAAAACATTGTCGCGGGTGGTTCTGGGTACGTGTCGTCAGGCCCCCGTTCCCTCCCTCCCTCCGTGAAAGCAAGGGCAGACAATCATTTCGCGCCTTTTTTCCTGAGTTACCTGTGCAGATGCCATACCACAGCAAGCATGGAGCCCGCTCAGGTAACCGTCACCCTATGTCTCCTGGGTGCTGGCAGACGCGGTACGGCTTTGCTGCACAGTAGCAGCAACCCCTTGCCTTCTGGCAGCAGACGGTGCAATACGACTGGTAGTCGTCCTCATCGTGTCCGAGGTGCTCCTGGCCGCGGGGGGGGAGCGCCTGGGCAGACATGGGCGCAGGGACTAAATTTGGAGTGACTTGACCAGGTCATTCTCTTTAGTCCTGCAGTCAGTCCTATTGAACCGTCTTATGGTGAGCGGGCAGGCGATACGGACTGCTAGCAGTCGTACTGTACCATCTTCTGCCAGGCAGGCAAGAGATGAGGATTGCTAGCAGTCGTATTGCACCATCTTCTGCCAGGCAGGCAAGAGATGGGGATGGCTAGCAGTCGTACTGTACCATCTTCTGCCGAGCAGCCATGAGATATGGATGGCATGCAGTCCTTCTGCACCGTCTGCTGCCAGCCAAAGATGTAAAAGATAGATGGAGTGGGTCAAAACAAGAAATAGACCAGATTTGTTTTGTACTCATTTGCCTCCTCCCCTGTCTAGGGGACTCATTCCTCTAGGTCACACTGCAGTCACTCACAGAGAAGGTGCAGCGAGGTAAATCTAGCCATGTATCAATCAGAGGCCAGGCTAACCTCCTTGTTCCAATAACAACGATAACTTAGGTGCACCATTTCTTATTGGAACCCTCCGTGCAGTCCTGCCTGAAATACTCCTTGATGTACAGGCACCCCCTTTGTTGATTTTAGCTCCCTGAAGCCAACCCTGTAAGCCGTGTCGTCAGTCGCCCCTCCCTCCGTCAGAGCAACGGCAGACAATCGTTCCGCGCCTTTTTTCTGTGCGGACGCCATACCACGGCAAGCATGGAGCCCGCTCAGCTCACTTTGGCAATTAGGAGCACATTAACCACCACACGCATTATCCAGCAGTATATGCAGCACCAGAACATGGCAACGCGATACCGGGCGAGGAGGCGACGTCAGCGCGGTCCCGTGAGTGATCAGGACATGGACACAGATTTCTCTGAAAGCATGGGCCCTGACAATGCATGCATCATGGTGCTAATGGGGCAGGTTCATGCTGTGGAACGCCGATTCTGGGCTCGGGAAACAAGCACAGACTGGTGGGACCGCATAGTGTTGCAGGTCTGGGACGATTCCCAGTGGCTACGAAACTTTCGCATGCGTAAGGGCACTTTCATGGAACTTTGTGACTTGCTTTCCCCTGCCCTGAAGCGCATGAATACCAAGATGAGAGCAGCCCTCACAGTTGAGAAGCGAGTGGCGATAGCCCTGTGGAAGCTTGCAACGCCAGACAGCTACCGGTCAGTTGGGAATCAATTTGGAGTGGGCAAATCTACTGTGGGGGCTGCTGTGATGCAAGTAGCCCACGCAATCAAAGATCTGCTGATATCAAGGGTAGTGACCCTGGGAAATGTGCAGGTCATAGTGGATGGCTTTGCTGCAATGGGATTCCCTAACTGTGGTGGGGCTATAGACGGAACCCATATCCCTATCTTGGCACCGGAGCACCAAGCCGCCGAGTACATAAACCGCAAGGGGTACTTTTCGATAGTGCTGCAAGCTCTGGTGGATCACAAGGGACGTTTCACCAACATCAACGTGGGATGGCCGGGAAAGGTGCATGATGCTCGCATCTTCAGGAACTCTGGTCTGTTTCAAAAGCTGCAGGAAGGGACTTTATTCCCAGACCAGAAAATAACTGTTGGGGATGTTGAAATGCCTATATGTATCCTTGGGGACCCAGCCTACCCCTTAATGCCATGGCTCATGAAGCCATACACAGGCAGCCTGGACAGTGGTCAGGAGCTGTTCAACTACAGGCTGAGCAAGTGCAGAATGGTGGTAGAATGTGCATTTGGACGTTTAAAGGCGCGCTGGCGCAGTTTACTGACTCGCTTAGACCTCAGCGAAACCAATATTCCCACTGTTATTACTGCTTGCTGTGTGCTCCACAATATCTGTGAGAGTAAGGGGGAGACGTTTATGGCGGGGTGGGAGGTTGAGGCAAATCGCCTGGCTGCTGGTTACGCGCAGCCAGACACCAGGGCGGTTAGAAGAGCACAGGAGGGCGCGGTACGCATCAGAGAAGCTTTGAAAAACAGTTTCATGACTGGCCAGGCTACGGTGTGAAAGTTCTGTTTGTTTCTCCTTGATGAAACCCCCCCCGCCCCTTGGTTCACTCTACTTCCCTGTAAGCTAACCACCCTCCCCTCCTCCCTTTAATCATTGCTTGCAGAGCCAATAAAGTCATTGTTGCTTCACATTCATGCATTCGTTATTCATTCATCACACAAATAGGGGGATGACTACCAAGGTATCCCAGGAGGGGTGGTGGAGGAGGGAAGGAAAATGCCACACAGCACTTTAAGCACAGCACTTTAAAAGTTTACAACTTTAAAATTTATTGAATGACAGCCTTCTTTTTTTTGGGCAATCCTCTGTGGTGGAGTGGCTGGTTGGCCGGAGGCCCCCCCACCGCGTTCTTGGGCGTCTGGGTGTGGAGGCTATGGAACTTGGGGAGGAGGGCGGTTGGTTACAGAGGGGCTGCAGTGGCAGTCTGTGCTCCAGCTGCCTTTGCTGCAGCTCAACCATACACTGGAGCATACTGGTTTGGTCCTGCAGCAGCCTCAGCATTGAATCCTGCCTCCTCTCATCACGCTGCCGCCACCTTTGAGCTTCAGCCCTGTCTTCAGCCCGCCACTTACTCTCTTCAGCCCTCCACCTCTCCTCCCGATCATTTTGTGCTTTCCTGCACTCTGACATTATTTGCCTCCACGCATTCGTCTGTGCTCTGTCAGTGTGGGAGGACAGCATGAGCTCGGAGAACATTTCATCGCGAGTGCGTTTTTTTTTCTTTCTAAGCTTCACTAGCCTCTGGGAAGGAGAAGATCCTGTGATCATTGAAACACATGCAGCTGGTGGAGAAAAAAAAAGGGACAGCGGTATTTAAAAAGACACATTTTATAAAACAGTCGCTACACTCTTTCAGGGTAAACCTTGCTGTTAACATTACATACATAGCACATGTGCTTTCGTTACAAGGTCGCATTTTGCCTCCTCCCACCGCGTGAACGGATTTTGGTTGAATGCCAGCAAACATACACTGCAATGCTTTGTTCTACAGTGATTCCCCAGTACGTGTTGCTGGCCTGGAGTGGTAAAGTGTCCTACCATGAAGGACGAAATAAGGCTGCCCTCCCCAGAAACCTTTTGCAAAGGCAGAACCGCAAATGCCAGGGCAAAGTAATCCTTTCACATGCTTGCTTTTAAACCATGTATAGCATTTTAAAAGGTACACTCACCAGAGGTCCCTTCTCCGCCTGCTGAGTCCAGGAGGCAGCCTTGGGTGGGTTCGGGGGTACTGGCTCCAGGTCTAGGGTGAGAAACAGTTCCTGGCTGTCGGGAAAACCGGTTTCTCCGCTTGCTTGCTGTGAGCTATCTACAACCTCCTCCTCATCATCTTCTTCGTCCCCAAAACCTACTTCCGTATTGCCTCCATCTCCATTGAAGGAGTCAAACAACACGGCTGGGGTAGTGGTGGCTGAACCCCCTAAAATGGCATGCAGCTCATCATAGAAGCGGCATGTTTGGGGCTCTGACCCAGAGCGGCTGTTCGCCTCTCTGGTTTTCTGGTAGGCTTGCCTCAGCTCCTTCAGTTTCACGCGGCACTGCTTCGGGTCCCTGTTATGGCCTCTGTCCTTCATGCCCTGGGAGATTTTCACAAAGGTTTTGGCATTTCGAAAACTGGAACGGAGTTCTGATAGCACGGATTCCTCTCCCCCAAACAGCGATCAGATCCCGTACCTCCCGTTCGGTCCATGCTGGAGCTCTTTTGCGATTCTGGGACTCCATCATGGTCACCTCTGCTGATGAGCTCTGCATGGTCACCTGCAGCTTGCCACGCTGGCCAAACAGGAAATGAGATTCAAAAGTTCGCGGTTCTTTTCCTGTCTACCTGGCCAGTGCATCTGAGTTGAGAGCGCTGTCCAGAGCGGTCAGAATGGAGCACTCTGGGATAGCTCCCGGAGGCCAATACCATCGAATTGTGTCCACAGTACCCCAAATTCGAGCCGGCAACGTCGATTTAAGCGCTAATCCACTTGTCAGGGGTGGAGTAAGGAAATCGATTTTAAGAGCCCTTTAAGTCGAAATAAAGGGCTTCATTGTGTGGACGGGTGCAGGTTTAAATCGATTTAACGCTGCTAAATTCGACCTAAAGTCCTAGTGTAGACCAGGGCTTAGTCCTTGACTTCCCTAGGCTGGAAGGGATCAGCAGACAGTGCCACTTCCCTGTCGCAACCAAGGAGGGAGCATATATACTGCCCCCTTCCCAGAGCTCGTTCCAGCTGACCGGGAGAGAAGGAAGCCTTGCCCCACCCTACCCTGCAAGGTTTATGGGTCCTGAGCCTTTAAAGAAATGGTAGCCTGGGTCACCCCCACATCCAGCCCCCAAGCATTAACTATTTCCTCGGCACCATCTTCCTGTCTCGCAGCACCTGCCTCTGCCCTTCTCTAGGCCTTCATCCAGGAACCTGAAAGGGACACACCATGGAAAAGGGGTTGACACATCTGTAATCCCTACTTTCCTTAAAGGGGACAGTCCCTTTTACACTCACCATTTGTGCCTGCCCAGAAAATCTTGAAAATGTGGACCCTAAAAACTCAAACACTAAAAGGCAAATAAAAAGGAACCTGCATTTATTATTTTAGTAAAGACTTGTGATTTTTAAGCCAATCTCATGATTTTGGGATCCTGAGTCAAAAAAACATAAACATATGAACATAAACATAAACATATGAACATAAAACTGGCCATACTGGGTCAGACCAGAAGCCCATCTAGCCCAGTATCCTGTTTTCCAGTAGTACTGGAGTTCTCAGGTTAAAGTAAGCGAGACAAAATGATGTGTAACTAGCCTTGTCATTTAAATGTAAACTTCATAGAAAAAAAAATCTAATCTTGTTTTTCCATTTTTCTGAAAATGGTGTGTTTGTTTTTGAAATGGTCAATGGTGACAAGTCATTCATGTATCAAATTAAAGACTGTTGCTTTATCTTCTAACTAAACATTAATCTATCATCATTTTACTGGATGAGAATGAATTCATGTACTTCTAGTTTATGATTTCAAATGTTGACTTGCTGTGTCTTGGGTCCCGGTAAAAGGCCAGTTGTGCCTGTTTCAAGAGACTCTCCTGGAGTGGATACAATTTTAAAGAAACATGTAAATAAGCAAACTGTAAGCAAACAAAAGAGAGCTCTCAACAAATGAGAGCTAACATTTATCACTGCTACTACTATGCCAGCAGCCCAGAAATTTCTAAAGCTAGGTTTCCTAAATTTGACTCGGTTGCAAACAAACCAAAAATTCCATCCCATTTTTTTAAAGTGAGCACATTCAAGTTGTTCTTAACCTTTGATATTTTTCTTCAGTCTGAGCAGATTACTGTGGTATCAGTGGAATGCAGCAGATTGTAAAGGAGTCAAGGAGATATTTGAAAATAGATTTATTCAGTCTTGCCAGACAAACAGCACTTCTGTTATTGACAGAGTGAAAATACAGAGCCTGAAAGGATTTTGTACTAAATATAACTCAGTTTCAGTATCCTAAGGCTTGCCTAGAGTTTGTTTATTTACATATTTTGCTTATTTAAAGTTGTACTCTCTGCAGGAGAACCTCCTTAAGAAGACATAGATGGCCTGTTTTATAGGACCTAAGACACTGAAAATAATTCTTTCTATTACTCTATCATAGCTTGTAGCCCCATAGTAATTCTTCCTGCTGTGTGGCGTTTACACCCTTCAAAACACTTGTAGTAAAGCTGGCCATAATCAGTATTCTCTTTAGAGCATTTTGATCTGGAATCCAGACTATATATCTATTGGAGCATCATCAAACCTGCATTTCTATAACAAACAGTAACAAAAACCTACCTCCTGTACTGTAAAGGTAAGAGTTCAATGCTGCATTGTCTGACAATAGTGAGTGGCACCATGGTACATGGCAAACCCACTGCCTACTACTCACTCCCCCCCCCCATTTAAATTCTTTATTATATTAGAGATTTTATGAGGCTACAGTTTTCGCACTTAAAAACAAAATGTTGGGACAAACTCCACACCCATGAATACACTGTAGGTAATGGGCTGAAATCAGAAGCCATGGGCTGGGGCTGTAAGTTGAAACTTGTTACACTAATTTAAATGCTCTTGTGCTCAGTTTAGACTCCCTTTGACTCACACCAATTCTACTGATGTGTAAGTGAGTCTAAAAGTGCAATAACTTACATGCCTAGAAGGCAAATGAAAGTGTAACGTAAAATAGGCTCTTTTACATAGGTGGAGTGAGTGTAAATAAATCTAAGGGAGTCAGAGCATAAGGGATTATAAATTATTGGAAGAGAACGTAACTAACAGAATTTAGCACATCACTTCTGATTTTGGCCCATTATCTAGAGCCTGTTCTTGTGTGTGTGGGGGAGTGCGGGGAGGAGGGAAGGGCGGGAAGGAGGGGTGGGTCTGTATAATTTGATACAAGAACTATGTAACTCCAATGTAGGTCAGTCCCATATGTTGAATTATCTTCTTTAAAGTCAAAAATAGGCAACAGCATTTGCAAGACAAATCTGTTCATATTTCATCCTCCAAAATTGAAGATCGGTTCTGTGACAGATTGGGATCCTTCTGTCAGTTTATATGTGATAGAAAAGAAATTGGGAAATATGGGATTAATAAAATGTGATCACTGTAATTTTAAGCCTGTGACTGAAAGAAATTGACCTGTTGCCTAATCAATGAAGCAAGGGTGTGTCAGAACACTGTGGAAGTACAGGACAATTACTGTGTACATGAGTCTTACTCTGATGAGGGAAAAACTAACTAAGGCTATTAGCAGACACCTCCATGAATTCAGATAAGTTTCTGAAATTAACCTGGGAAGGGGCACATGGTTGGTGACACCTGGTCTTCCTAGGGAATGAAGTTGCCCTGCAATAATCGATGAAATCAGGACAATAGATTTTGTACATCTCAATGTCCTTTTGATGCATTTATGCAGATATTTTTGCAAGGATGTAAAAAGGATGCACATTCATACCTGGCATGATAATGAGCTAGGTGCCATTTAGATTTCAGGAGGCTTGTAGCTATGTTACAAGGGAGGAAAAATTCATGGGTTGGGTCTCTGATGCCAGAATGATAGGTACTGGTCAGTAAGGCTAACAGTTGGAGAAGTCCAACAGGGTGACTGTTAAAACAGAGAAACCAGGAATGTGAGCACTTTCCTTTGCCATTTTCTTTATTATTTAATTACAATCACTGTCTGTATTCTAGATTAACTGTTTTTCCAGCTATATCTGAATACCATTAATTTTAACTTGATATGTTAATCTTTAAGACATGGGGTTTAAACCATTGTGGGGAAACCCACAAAGTCAAATACCTCCCTCTTACACAATGCTTTTCATCAGATCTCAAAGCCCTTTTCAAGGAGGCCAGTATCAATGGCCCCATTTTACAGATTGGGAAACTGAGGCCCAGAGAGATGAAGTGGCTTGTGTAAGATCACCCAGAAGGCCATTGGCAGATCCAGGAAGAGAACCCAGGTGTCCTGAGCCCCAGGCTAGTGCTCTGTCCACTAGGTAACATTATATCCCATGACCCTGCAGCTTCTGTGGACAGGTAATGAAGGGTGTCTAGAATCTGCCTCCTTGGGTTCTTGGTTAAGAGATTGGACCAAAGTGACCTCGTCTGTAGGGTGTGGTCGATGCCCTGAATGCTGCAGACAAGAGCAGAGTTTGAGGCACAGGTAGTCAGTAATTTTTGGAATTACAACCCTCTTCCTGCATGTTAGCACCACATCTGAATATCAAAAAGTAAATGCAAAGCGTACCAGGAATGATATTGCAGTTAATAAACTGGCCCTACATTTAAATAATTAGACTGTACATTCATTACAGCTGATCTGAATTACATGTTATTTGCAGAGAAGAGATCTTAATCATCGGCATTTCAATAAAATTTGTTGAGAAATCCGCTTTAGTCATCATGTTAATTTTAAAGAACAACATGTTTAGTCTTGGATTATTCTTCTGCAGCTGAAAATAAACCAAAGCTTTGGGGAAATTATACTGAAAAAGCTCAAAATTATAAACAACATGGAGTCAATGACTTAATGCAGTCCATTTCCAAACAAACAGAGGAGGACAATTTCAACACAGGGAATTAAGGAAGCAAGTCCCACTAACAATAACAGGAACTGTAGACCAATTTCTACATATACAGCCCTAAACGTTGACTTTCTGTGACAATTAAAGACTAAGAGAAGACTTTAAAGTCTTCCAGATGGTCTATACCCAAAGAAACACTTTATATAGAATAGTAAAACCTCCTCTCAAGACACTATAATCATATGGCTGAAACATGAGACATTGTTGACACTGCTGACAAGAGATGGCAGATATTTTTAAACTGCCTCTGTGGTATTTTGTACAATTGTAAATAATGCACCTAATCACAGAAGGGAAAAAATCTTGGATAATATTACTGCATTTTTTTTTACCATTTCTGATGTGATATAATGTAAAATATTTTTAACTAACATATATAGATTCACAGAGCTGAAGGCCACAAGAGACCATTAGATCTAGTCCAATCACAGGCCATGGTATTTCACCCTGTTATATGACACTGAGCCCAATAACTGTTTAACTAAAGCATTTCTTCCAGAAAGGCATCCAGTTTTGATCTGAAGACATTGAAGGTGGAGAATCCATCACTTCCCTCGGCAGTTTGTTCCAATGGTTAATCACTCACCCAGTAAAAAATATGTGCCATATTTCTAATTTGAATTTGTCTGGCTTTAATTTACAGCCATTTGTTCTGGATATGACTTTCTCTGCTAGATTAAAGAACCCATTAGTCCCCGGTATATTCTCCCTATGAAGGACATCACAATCAAGTCACTGCTCACTCTTCTTTTTGATAAGCTAAACACATTGAGATCCTTAAAATTCCATATTTTTCCAGCTCTCAGATAATTTTTTGTGGCTCTATTCTGCACACTCTCAATTTTTTCAATGTCTTATTTAAAATGTGGAGACCCAAACTCGCACAGTA